ATAGATAGATAGATAGATAGATAGATAGATAGATAGATAGATAGATAGATAGATAGATAGATAGATAGATAGATAGATAGATAGATAGATAGATAGATAGATAGATAGATAGATAGATAGATAGATAGATAGATAGATAGATAGGATATTAAATAAAATCTATAAATTATAGATGACTACTAAATGTAAAAGACAAAATCCAAGTAGTCCAAGCCCACTAAGGCCAGTTTATTATGACTTCCAACAATCAGTTTATTTATTTTAGAATATTTAGAAATGAAATCTTTGAAAGTTGTATAATCTGACAAGGAAGCAAAAGTGGGTGAGCGATAGTACTCCATCGTTGAATTGGCTATTTTATTTCCCAAAACACCAGGAGAAATTTAGATTGCAAATGAATGTGATATAGGTTGTATCATGGAGGTTTTTAAGGAAAATGTAAGAAGACTCATTACAGTTTTAAGACTCTTAACATTTTCAAGCATATTTTCTGACGTGTGACAAAAAGTCTAAACTTTAAAATCCTCATGATCTTTCTGAATTCCGGACCTGTTTCTTGATCATGATGCACTTGTCTCCTCTCGTCTGCGAAGGCCCGGAGCCAGCGCTGTTTCTGTTCTGGTTTCTTGGTACACAGGAGATGGACCTCGTCCCCGGTCGGGGACCGGAGTTTCAGGGCGTTCTTCACGCTGATGTTAAACTCCTTCTCCTTTCCGTCCTCCACGTCCATCACCTCCATGTGATCCATGTCCAGCCGACCCTTGTAGTACAGCATGTCCCGGCGCAACAGGTCCTACAGGGGGGCAAAACCAAAATGAACCACACTGTTCTTAAAAGGGAGAGACGGAACTAAGCAACTGTGTAAAAATAACTAGGAATTTGTTCAGTGAGTGATCAAAAATCACTGAGAATCGAGTCACAACCGTGCACAATAAAGGTTTCAATATGCTGCTCAGTGAACATTTTCCGGTGTCAATTTAGAAGAAATGGGCAAAAAAGACAACCTAGGTGACCATGATAAAGTCTGAACCAGTACAGCCTGACACCAGCACTGTGAATACGAGATTTTACAGTTAACAACTGATAAATTAATCTGACCAGTAGAGTGTGTCTAGCTAACACCTCCCTGCTATGCATTGTACACCACAGAATTATTCCTGTGGCTGCACCAGTACAGAGAAAGAAAGATAACTGTCCAGAGGCCTCAGACTCTCGGTTCACTGCGTGCTAATCCAATTACATGCAGTTCAAATGAGGACTGTGTGCAAGATGCTGGTGCGCTTGAAAGTTGTTTTGTCGTCCCATGATCCTTCGGTTTGACCTGAGTGCTTTACCGTAACACAAAATAGTAAATATAACCTGTTTTAATAGTTAACATTATGTTGAATGACGATCATTCCAAAGCAATGGCCAGTGAGGAAAAAAAAGTTTTAGTCTCGCTCATTCTCATTGGTACGGGTAATCAATTATTCCAAAGAATGGGACCTGGAAGTAAACAAACAAAGCCCAGTCTGGACCTGGATACAGCAATGACCATTTTTCAATCATTTCAAAGCATTCTGACCAAATATCATCATTCCATTTAAAGCCCGAAAAACTAGCAATTAAATGTTTTAATCTACGGTAAAATGAGCAGAAAACTAGTGGAGAGGTGACTTGCTCATGTTCCCTTGTCCCCGTTTAAAAGAATGAGCTGTAGTATTTTGTAATCACTAAAGCCACTAAAGAATTGACTGAGCCTGACCAACACACAGGGAATTGCAAATTTACAGTTGTGTGGTTTAAAAAAGCTGTCAGGACGTGCATGGTGGAGGGTTTGGGGAAAAAGGAAAAGAAGAAACTCCTAAACCAAAGATGTTCAAAACCAGAAGCCAAGAACATGACAAGCAGAACAATACCGAAGATATACAAAAATAACCTACCACAAGAAGCCAAACTCAAAGACAAAGTCCCAAAACCCCAAACAAAACCTCAGCTATTGGCAAAAAGCATGTTGAAGTCTTTCGAAATCATCACAGGATATGCATGGCTTAACTTGTTTGTAAAAACTAGTTTTGACAAGAAAAAAATCAGTTGTTCGCTAAATGTCTTGTCTTCAGTTAGAAATCACACGGAGGTTTAGAACAGATATATCAATTCTAAAAGTCACCTCCACCATTTCTTTCTTTCTTAAAATTCAGAAAGATCAGCTCTAACCAGTTTTTTAATTAAGTCAGACCGAGAGTTTACTTCTAAAAGGTACATAACAAAATCAGAACCCGAGGGTGTTCTTTGTAAAATGAAAACAGCAATGGGTAAAAAAAAATGTACTCCTTAAGAGAAATGTATCAATGTTGGCCATATGTTGATGCTGTTCAAAGTATAAACATACAACTAACTCTGTGATTGGGAAAAAGTACAACAAATCTTTTAGATACATGTTTCTTTACCCTCTGTTTTGGTCAATTTGGTTGTGAATTAATGAGGTACCTTTTTGCAATACACCATCTGATGGTCGAAGAGAAAAAACATCCGCTGCTGACTCTTGGTCTGGGGCTGGGAGAGCTTGGTCAGCTCCCCTGAAAATATTAGTTCCGAGCTTCTACTGAGAACATCTTCACCCTAATGGATCAACACAGAGGTTTTGTTACTTCTCATAATCAAATCAAGGGACCCTTTTCAGAACCCTGTGTGAGGTCGCACCTCCCAGTCTTCTATGGAGCTCTGCCATTGGGCTATCTTGTCGATGTTCTCCAGGCGCCGTTTCCTCTCGTTGATCAGCCGGGCCACGTTTTTCATCGCATTTAAGGCCGCCTCGACATCTTTATAGTCCCTGCAAATCAGAGAGTGGCATAGAGTAAGTAATAAAGATAACACCTGAACGATCCTTCCAACAGTTTATCGCCAAGCAAAAAGGTGCATTAGAAGTTCAGAAGTTCCACTGCGAATAAATATTTAGAGAAAGTCTTTTCTTTTGTTTTCCAGACCATAAAGCTCCATTCCAACATCTCCTCAGACCACAAAGTCAAAAGATCTCACGGACCAACAGAACAGACTAAATGGGACATTTTTGTGTTGATGAGCGGTGCAAAATAATTCAGAGAACAAAAAAGATAAATGATAGATGGTAAAATATCCCAGATTGATGAGTTACAATGATATTCCGAAAACCTAGGACTCATTTAATATCATTAACGTAGCAGAGTGAAACTGATTTTTTGCATTTTTTCTAGATTTTGACCTCAACTGCTGCCATTTCATGTGTGTTTGATCATAAAAACTTCCAGAAGTAACTTCTCCAAGTTATTTTGGAGAAAAGATAGTGTCAAAGTCAGGGTTTTTTCAGATGCCAAATAATCCGAGTGGTCTGAACACGTAATTGTAGATACTAGGGTTGTTGTTCCCGGTTCAAAGCTTTACTTTTCCAGCAATAATATATGAGATCATTCATTTTTATCCTAAAACAACAACCTAGTCCATATGCACAGGTCGATCAATCTCATGAAAACATCCGGGTTAAAGTCACCTGTGCTGAGGGTTTGTGTATTTGAGGAGCTCGGCCAGCTGCAATGGGTACTTGCAAATCTTCTGAACGGGCGTGAGCAGGAAGCCGTCCAGAGAAATGTCGATCATCCTCTGGAGCAGCCGGCAGGCCTCGAAGAAGAGCACGTACTTGTTGATCTTCATCAGCTTGGACAGCTGGACGCAGGCATTGGGGTGGTTGTTACAATACTCGGAATAAATCTGGAAATCCATTTGCTGCACACGAGAAAGAATGAGACATTTTGGGTTAACTGTAACCAAGTGACAGTACGCTCACAGAAAGATTTCCTGACTGCATTACAGTTGATGTGAAAAAATAGTCTAGCGAAGTCTTTCTAAATTAAGATCGAGAATAACCAGTAATACAAAGTAAAATATACAGAATAAGGTTCAGAATAAGGCTCAATGGTCTATTTCAGTCTTTAGATCTGAGTTTTTCTGATTTAATTCGGTGGCCTAGCTTACATTTTCAAGGAAACAGCAGCCTATCTCGCTGAGGTGTGGCTGCTCCTTGTTGAACTTCTTCTCCAGGCCTTTGAGGAATTTCCTCTGGAATCGGTAGATGTCCTCGATGTTTCCGAACACCGTGTGAAGCTGCTCTTCGGTGAACATGTCCGTCCTCTTACGACACTGTTTGATGTAGCCCTGAGAGAAAGACAAACGCCATCACAATCTGGCCCCCGGTGTTTAACGAGATCTACCATTAAATGAACGAATAAAAAACATATCACATTCAATTGTATTCAAGTGGCTACATGCTGAATCCATATTACTATTTTCTAAAAGATGATAAGCTGTTTACTGCACGGTCAACTCTTTCTCAGTTCAAAGGTTTTGTGTGTGAAAACATATTCAAAGAATCATGTCTTAAAGTTAGGTCAGTAAAAATGTGTGATATGCTTATGAATTATGCATTTCATCCATATTTTTTCATGTTACAATATAGCTTATGTTACATAATTCTGATTTCCTCCACACTTCTACCCAAAATCCTCCCCATTTCAGCACCTTGCTTGGCATGTTTGACATTATGTGTTGTGTTTTGCTTCAGAGAGTGTGAAATGTGTCCCATCAGTGTGACTCAAAGGTGAGATGCTGCAATGCTGAGAGGAGGGAGAACAAAACAGGCTTCAGTTGATATTACAGACCTGGTTACCCTGTTCGATATTAAATGTAATGACAGTAAAAGCACAGCAGTAATTGTGGTTTGTGCATTTTGCATTAAGACTGTATGACATTGTACCTTAATGCAATTCGTGCCTGTCCACAGGACAATGTTCCAGATGTGGGGCTGAATTTGAAAGAGTGTGTTTCTCTATAGAATTGTGCATCTTTGGTAAATGTTTTTGTCATTTTTGTGGCTCTTGGGATTTCTGTTGGGATGTTTTTGTTGTTAAACATTCTGTTTTGCTCTATTTTCCACAATTACTGCTGCTTTCCTATCATTATTTCCATTTCAGTGTACCATTTAGCATTTAAAATCCCTAAAGATCAGCTAATGAATAGTCTCTAAAACTTGATGGGTTTCCACCTCATGTAGTATTTATACAAATGTAAGCATTGATTGTGTCCTGATTAGGTTTTTTTATTATAATGTCTCGTCACATAAATCTGTTACAGCAAATTAAGAAGAAAATCATTAGTGACTGCTTGATTAAGCAAACCTCACCAAAGGTTTAGACAATGAGGTTTAGCAGAAGGTTTAAAAGAGCTGATCAAGACAAAAAAATGAAAGCATGTCTTCACACGCACGGATTCAGACCTCACAAATATCTTTCAGGTGCTTGATGTAGTCTCGTTCCGTGCTCATGATCTCATTGATGACGTTGGTTCTCATCTGCTCTTTGCAGGGCAAACCGGGTCCTATCAGTAAGCCCAAACTTGACCGGTCCTCATCTCCAGCCTGAGCCTCCTCCAGCTGGGCAAGATACTCTTCCATAGGCTCATCCTGGTTCACCCGCAACTGAGAATACAGGGAAAAGTTTCAAACCTTTACATTTTTTGAGGAGCATCTTAAAAAATACCCCCTTATTCTTACTTTCCAAAACATATGTGAATCCCAGTTAATAACACAATGGGAAAAATGAAGCCACATAGCTGTTCATGTCTATGTTCTAGACCGAAATAAAAGAGATTTTCTCACCCGGACAAAGCTGGCTGGGAACCATCCTTCACTGTCCAAGATGCGGCCCCACCACCACTCCTTGTTGGTGGCGTCCACGACTTCGATGACATCACCGGCTTTGAAGCCAAGCTCCTGGACGTCCATGGTCACATGGTCCCAGAGTGCCTCAGCATAGACCACACTTCCATCACTTATCAGCTGAGGAGGAACATCACAGAAAACACACAGGTTTTTAAAACTATTTCGATTAGAATCTCGTGATTAGACAATACCATAACCTTGCACCAAAGAGTGGGAATCCACTCTTTAAAAGTTTGTCCAAGCTCTGTGTAGAGACAATACATTTTCAATAAGACAAGATTGCAACGTAGAAGTTTAATTTAAAAAATGGGTGTACGCTACTCAAGAATGATATTTAAGTTTTAGGGAGATACAGAAGAAACTATTTGTCAGGTGGCAAACAAGCATGGAAAACAAATTTGTCCAGCACAAATATGAATAGAGTAGAACTAAAAATTGCACAAATTATGCTGTGTGATTTTTCTAGGACTTTGTACCTCCCCATGTTGGACACAGTAAAAGAGGATAGAGCATCTTTGGTTGTGGCAGAGGGTTGAAAGAAAAACAAAGCACAACAACTAAAGAAATTCAATTCAAATCCATGTTGTCAGTTATAAAATAACCAATGGCAATTTGTACGGGAAAAAAAACGTCATAAAATTTGGAATTTGGAGTTAGCTAGACTTAAAAAAAAAGATTCACTTTGCAGGACATGGAATTAATCGGTTACCATAGAAGCGCCTGTTTCACCCGAAGCCTACTAAATGAATCTCACAGTGATTTCACATAAAAAGAGGAGCAGCAGGACGCTGCAGAAGGAGAAACGGGGAGGTGTCCGGCAGATGATGAGACAGACGGGAGTTTAGAAGCTGACAGTTAAATCATGTCTCTAAGGAAAGCAATGAGCGTACTAAACCATTCAAATGAATAAGGACACTTGTTCTCACTGTTAGAAACCTCAAGTCAGGTTGTCTGGGGTTTCCATGCAGATAGATTTTATTGGCCTCATAATTCCAAATGTTAGATCTTAGCTGTTTTTAACTGTTTTAAATGCTTTATATTCTAGTCTGAACCTAGTCTAGAACCTTTACAGGTTCCTTCGGTGACAGAGGCTACCAGGCAGGGCGGCGGTCAGCCCTGACTGATGTCTGCCTGAGAAATCAATGAGAGGCTAAGATGGAAGTGGGCTCAGACAGGAATACATTATCTGGAATAGGAAGGAGGAGAGACAAATGGAGATGAGAAAGACGGAGGGTGAGACAACTGGAGGGATGGATTCCTGCTGATTATGAAGGCACTGCCGTGGTCATATTTCCTGCTCTCTCTTCCACGTTGCCCGTGTCACCAGAACAAACCTCTACAGAACCTATAGGATCCTGCTCTGCCGTTTTTCCTGTAGATACAACATGAAATCCTGGTGGACCCATCAGCCCTCACATCTTTTCTTCAGCAGCTCATTTCCTCCAGGGATAGATGAGAAATATCCCCCTCCACCACTCCAGGCATGTTAAAGTTACTGTTTTCTATTTTTTCTCCCTGTGATCTCACTCAGAAAACACCGATCCTTCCTGGCGATGAGGGATACAGACGATGTGGCTGTTGCTAAGCAACGTACTCGCATGATCTTGCCTCCTTGATGCCTGACCTTCCAATTTCTACTTTGACAGCATCAAAACATAACCCCTTCTTTTTTTACATATTATCAAACTAAACAACGGCATGTCGCTTTAAAAAAAAAAAGTGAATTATTGTGTTTCATAAAGCATTGGCTGGTATCTATGGATTTTCTGGGGACTAAAAATGTGCACGCACACATAGAGCAGCTGCATCGTCACCCCGACATAAACCACCGAGTGAGGCATGAACAAATTCATTTATCTATTTTAAACTACTGTATATTTACTTTAATGGTCATTGAGAGACATTCTACATGGTGTTAAGTAGTTCATCTACAACCACTTATCTTAAATATAAATGTGTACCTGCTCTAAACTGTGAATCTGCTGTAAAAGTTCACAAATTTGATTTTTTTTTTGCCATCTTATACATTTTAATCACTTGTCTTTCACTGCTACTGACACCAACGGTGTGATATTTCACACTGAATATCTAATATGTATTCAGAATTAATTCAGCATCAAAATGACACATTTATACAGCAAATATAAATTTGAGGGGAAAACTAATTGCAGTTGAGGTTGGTGAGAAGCAAAAGATTATCCCCTCATCTGAATTAGGAACAGATAATTCCCCAGAAAAATGTGTGCGCAGGTAATTCATTTATTTGGATTTACTTGACGTGTCCTTTTATAAAAACAGAAATACTTTTTTATTTGAGAATGTGGTATAAATGGTGCTTATCTGACTTATTCAATTGACCGTTTTCACAGAATAATGTTACATATGCAAAATACACTATTTCAGGGACTGCATTTGTTTATACGAATTAAATAGTACAAATTCACACTCAATAATGGACATAGCTACAATTGTTTCTGCAGGAAGTGTGACACTAAAACACTTTCCTTAAGTATCGCCTCCTGAAACAATTAGTCATGTCAACTTGAAATTTGCATTTGGTAAAGTAGCAGCTGTTTAAATATGAGTGAACATTACTTTAACCCACAGCCTCTACTTTAACCAACGAGTGGAATTTACCAAACCTGACGTCATTCTGTTACTGTTATTCAAAGCACCAGTGAGTATCTGATTAATGCAATTCGGTTTTATTCATGAAGCAGAACATATGTCATATATCAGAAGACTTCACAAAGTAACTCTAAGATTGTATGATATCATATAGAGAAACCAAACAATTCCCTTTGAGCAGCACTTGGGGACAGAGAGGAGAAAATACAGGGTGAAACGCATGGGATAAGAACTCAGGAAGGGTGGTCATCTCCCTGAATCCAGATAGGTAAGACCACAAAGATAGCAAAGTTAGAACAGTGTGTAAATTCACTTTAAGGTTTTCCATTTTTTTTTACCATAGCTGACTTAAAATGCTTCATTCATCCAAACCCCACACCCCCCAAAAAACAAAAAAACAAAACATGATTTCCTGAAATTTTGGATTTGAGGATCTTTGACGTGATGTTTTAAATATGTTAGAGCTATACAGTTTGAAATATATCGAAATGCAACAAATTATTTGAGCATGTACATTTATCTGCCATCGTTCAACAAAAAATAACATATAAAAACATCTTAAATAAACTTTATAAAAATCTTTTTTTTTTTCTCTTTGATACTTGAGTGGAGCACTTTGAAATATTAAACTGGTGATCAACATAAATACAGATACTCACAATGTCCTCAACCAAATGGATGTGCAGGACATTAAAGGGTTATTCTAAACTAATAAAAATGGTAGCAATATCTTAAAAACGTAAATGTTTTTCCATTCGTTCTCGCCTGCACCTAGAAATCAATATGTGGATGGGATGATTTTTTTAATAGGTTCGACACATTTCAAATACATACAGTTAGAGAGCACAATCTCTTCTCCCTCGTGCACCCCTCCATTTCCCCCCCCCCCGTAAAGGTGCAGGAGGCAGTGACCTCAAAGTGTGGACAGCTGAGACCAGAGCTAATGACAGACGGCCATTAGTGAAGGCATGAGAGAAACAAGGTTTTTAGGTTTTCTTTTTTAGATGAACAGCGTATGCTCACGAGCACATTTCAAAAATTTCCGGTAACTTCTGGGACCACATCGTCCGTTCTCACATTAAACGATGCTCCCGTTGGTCCTGGTGTGTCTGTCTTCTTGATTCTCAGAGCGTGGGGTCTCCTCCTCCATCCTCGCGCCTCCATTAGTGGACGCGTGCGGGGGGGGGGGACGGGGGGGTCTCTGGGGTCCGCTCTACTGGAAGGCCAGCAGGAACATGAGCACCACGTTGATGACGATGAGCAGCATCATGATGATGAAGACCACCACCTTCTGCGTGTCGGGGGGCAGGTTGCAGCGCAGCATGGCGTTGAAGAAGCCCGCCCGCTGCCGGCTCCAGCGTCCCGAGCCGTTCCCGCGAGCCATCGGCCCCTTGGCCTCGTCCTGGCCCCCCCCCCGGGGGCCACCGCCACCGCCGCCGCCCAGCCGCCGCTCCCGGAGCGCCGCGCCCCCGCACCACACCGCCTCCCCCCCTGCTCCTCCTCCTCCCGGAGCGTCCCCGCTGCTGTCCTCTGGCGCCGGCCCCCCCCCCCACCGCCGCGCGGCCCCGGTGGTGGCCTCCCCGGCTTCTCCTGCCACTTTGCCGACGCTTTGCCGGAGGCCGGGTGCCCGTCTGAGTCAGGGAGATCTGTGTCTGTGTGAGAAGAGCCGCTCTCCTTCCTCCTCTTTGTGGTTACAGGCACCTCCCCTCTCTCTCTTTTTTTTCCCTTCCTGCAACCTCTTTAGTGTTCCTTCTCCTTTCGGCTCTCCTCTGGCCCTCCCTTTCGGTCAGGAAATCAGGATGATGGCCGGAGGGAATGCTGCATCTCTCCAACACACGATCATTCCTCCTCCTCCTTTTTTTTCTCCGTCCACCTTTCCTTGCTGTCTATTCGTCCGCTTGTTTTCCGGTACGTTCTTCAGTCACTCGGGCGTGCAGACATGCCTCGTTTCCCCCGGGTGTTTTTTTCTTTATCTCTCCATCGTAGCACCTTGCATCTCAGACAGGAGCTCTTTCTAAAATGGTCCTCGGAGTAGCCTCGGATCGTGCTACCTCAGCCATCCATCTAACAACCAGAGCCACCCACTACACCCCCCCCCTCCCCCCCCGTTGCTCCTTTTTTTGTGTGCCCACCCTTGCATAGCTGGCAGCCAATCAGAATGCACAGTGTGTCAGCACATCCTGGATACCAGGAGTGGTCGAGGCAAGGCCATAGCAACCGCTGGGAGGCAGACACACTGAGTGGGGGTGGGGTGGAGCTCTGAGAGGGGCTGGGAGGGGGGCAGAGGAGGCCATGCAGAAGAAAACAGCCATCCTGTGTTGAATAGCATGTTTTTGTCTGAGTGTCACATGTGCTGGAGTCGGTTATATCAATCCTTGTAATTACTATATATAAATTAGCATTATATTGTAGCTCATTTGTTTTCAAAATAAAACTACATCATAAATTGGGCACCCTAATATAATTAGGGGATGCAGTACGCAACATTATTTACTCCTGGTGAAAATAATTAGATGCTGCGTTCACATACAACACATGTAGTGTTTTAGATACATGCATATAAAATGCATTGAACATATAATAACAGATAATAAATGCATGTCAGTAAACACATTCATAGACTGTGGGATGATACCCTTTCCATTAATGTCTTAAATGATGGTGATGGACCAACATCTATTGATGATGATATATTTGTACCTTGTTACATCTTAGTTTTCCTATAAAAGTTAAAATTAAAGAATTTTAAACGCCTCACAAAAATTGCAGTGCAATGGACCCTTTCTTATTAGTATATAAAATATAGTACAAATCAAATAAATAAGATGAATTAAAAATATGCATGGGAAATAGTCCTTTTTGCGTATTTTCATGAAACACAGTTTGATAAAATAGGTCTTTTGAAAAAAAAGACCTGAGCAAAGATGACAAATTTTGAGGCTTGAGTCACTGAATTTTTATAATATCTGTGGCCTCGTGAATAAAAAAACAAAACACAAAATGGCTATGTCTCAAGTGTTCTTCTTTTTTAATATTCTATCTCATTTAATATTCTATTCTATATCACTGAGATATCTGGACAGTATACTATATATACACACCTGTAGTTTAGTTTTTACGTTCTTACAGAATCTTATTTTGCCTTCTACATCCTATACTTTGGTTTTTCCTCTCATGATATGTTACTTTTGGTTAACCACTTCACCATTCCAGGAAAGGTTCAATAAATAATTTCTCAAAGGCAGATTTGAGCAAATTAGCTAAAAGCAACTGACCCGGTAACGTCTTGTCTTACCTCTATGAATCTGGACTCAACTTCCAGTTGGAACAACCATTACAAACCAACAGACTGCCTTCCTAAACAAAACCAATCTAACTTACATTTCTAATTGGATGGTCTTTAGTTTCATCCTGAATCTGACCAGAAATATCTTTAGTAACTGTTTACTTTTGGATCTGTTCGTCTTCAGCAGAAAACGTAGACACAGTGAGAATAAGATGAAAATTACAGATAAAATGACACAGAATCAGTTGCAGTGAAAATATTACTTAAGGTAAATGTACTGGAGTTATCCACATGGTGGCAGTAAAGCTCTGGCTCTGTTCTATTTATCTTATGCGCAGGAAAAAACAGGGAACTAGGTGATGGAAGCTAGTGGCATTAATATCACCACAGCCACTGACTGGCGGTCATTTTGTGAGAACCTGATGATACAGCACAACAGAAACCATAACGCGTGGGGGGGGGTAGGGGAAGAAAACATGGCCTGGACAGATGGATGGATCATTAATACCAATATTCATTATTAGGTACCAAATGATTTGTGACATAGTCCTTTTTTTGTGCTAAAAATGTTTTTTTAAATGCTCTCCTCCTTAAAATAAACCATCTCTCAAAAAAGAACCGCACATACATGAGATCAGCCATGAATTATGAGGCTTTAGTCAGATGCTTTGACAGCCCACCCATAAATTCTATCTTAGTGAGGCTTCGCAACGGAGCACACTTCTGGAGTTTGTCTCCATGGCGACTAAAGATCTCAGTTACTCCAGAGCTGTACTTTGTGACCTCGAGTCTCGTCCTCTGCTGAGGAGAAGTCCTGTTTCACGCCCATACAGTGGTGAGCACGGGTGCGTTTGCCTTCATCGAATGCTTCTGAATAACAGATTTACAAGATTTTGGTTTTCAAGTAAATCTCTATTGCTTCCCTTTTCATTCGGGGAGGAACAGGCATTGAGAACATGCGTTCTGCAGATGACGTTGCAATACTGCGTCCATTTGGGGCACAAAGTTTTTCCTGGTTGACGGTAAATATATAGTAATAGTGTCATTTAGCAAATAGAAAAAGTGGTCACATTAATTCTATACACAGCTAATAAAGCACGGCCTCCCTTTCGAAGCAGAACATTTTCATTTATTTTAATTTCAAAGTTGATAATGATAACATAATTGAGCATCTTCAAACACCAGTTCATCATCTAATAGCACTATAAAGCTTAACTCTAAATATTCTTAGTGTCAATGGGTGTCGTATCCATAAAAAATTTTAGAATGTGACCGAATTAGTACATTTTTAAATAAATTTCTAAATAAAAAAATAAAAAACAGAATGAAATGAACCAATATTTTTTAATTAAAAAACAGATAAAACCCTAATGTATGATGTGGTTATGAGTAATGAATCAATAAATGAGGAACAACATAACTGATGTGAATGTCTGCTGTTTAGTGGTAAAGTCACTACCTCATTGATGGCTAGCTGCTCTCCTCCGCCTCCTCCTGGATGCCCAAACCGATGTCCAGAACTCCGGAATTCTTCATACAGAAGATCCTCTTCACTCCCAAGCTCATCACCCAGACCTGCCTTCTCTGATGCCCCATCAGGAACGACCACAGCTAAGAGGAGAAAGAGAGAAAGTCTAATTAAATTACTTGAAAATTGCAGTATTTTCTCATCCAGCCGATAATTGCAGGCGTCAAACGAGCTATTCTGAACTAAAGCTGCTCAAAAAATAAAAAGCCAGAACCAAACTGTTCACACTAAAGACAAAGCCATCCAAAACTGTTTGCATTCTTCTTCGGTTACAGCTACTCGTTTATTTGACATATACGCAATCGGAAAAAAAAACTGGAATCTATCCCTGTTGTCATTGAGTGACAGGGAGGACGCGGCCTACAAAAGGGCATCTGCCCATCACAGAGAAAACACAACCATGCACGCTCTTCCACTTCAACGCTCAATCTGGAAACACCACTTGACCTGACATGGATGGTTTTTACCTGCAGGCTTTGAGGTGACGGCGTTAAAAAAAACCTGCAGCCGCCCAAACACATCACCATTTTTTTTTTTAAAACAACAATCACCAGAAAATGGTGACGGGTTCTGGAGTGGTGTCCTAAATAAAAACCATTCAGGACGCGAGACGGTGACATTGATTTTGCTGTCGGCGGTAATCTGGTGATGAAGGCACAGTGACACAGTGAGCGGGCAGCTCAGCTCCAGACGGGGTCAGCGGCGAAAACAACAAAAACACACACAGCAATCGCACAATGTAACGACGTCTGACAAGCACCTGCGGTATCGATTACCGTGATGATTATAGTGACTGATTACCTTTTACATTTTCCATGTAATGGCATCAATGACTCTGTCATTATTAACCCTTTAAAGCCTGATCCAATAATAAAAAAATAACATAAAATTACTTTGTTTTGGTTTGAAGTCTTTATTTGGCCTTTTAACAAAATATGTAAAAAGAAAAAACCAAAATGAATTTTTTATATTAATAATTTATTAATATGCGATAAGTCAAGATTATTTTTTGTGTAGTCTTCTGCCCCCTGTTATCAGGTGTATCTGATTGTGTACAATAGGATTTTGATCAAGGTTTTTAACATTAAATCATGCAAAAGGAGTCAGACGCAAAACATTTCAGAAACCGTACGTATCAAATATGATACATTTGGCATTACAGGGTTAAGTATGGAGCTCAAACCCATCCTATTTCTACCCCTACCCTACATAAATCGCAAAAAACAAATAAATATTTAACAAAAAAATGAAAAAAACAGAATACAAAAATGTAAAACTAGCAAAGATTTGATTCTGTAGCTAGCAGTCATGTATTTGTCTGTGAGGATGACTGATTATAGATTATAAAATAATACAGATTAACTGCAATGTTCCACAAAACGGTTTAAAATGAGGACAAACGTGGCGTAAAATGCCCTATATCAGCAGCCTCTTTCCATAATAATGAGTTCCTCTGAGTTTTTTTTTTCCTTCTTCTCATCACAGTAAACTCCTTTAAAGTGTCTGGATTCACAGTTTGTGGCTACCTGGCTGACGAGCTAAAAATAGCCCTGCTGTCACACCTCATCATAGGCATCAACCTCGCCCGCCTTGCCAACAGCCGTTTCCATGGAGGTTGTATCTGTGGTGACAAAGCACCGTCTCCAGATAGAGATAAAGACATAGGCCATTAAAGACCCAGTGGCCTATATTGAAAAGATACCCTCTGAAATGACTATAAATACTCTGAAATAGTGTGTTTTCATCTATAACTCACTAAGATGGAGACAATACGCCCACTATCTGGCATATCATTACATTTCCCACTATGTGAAACATCATGTAACAGCATTGTCCTCATGTAATTTGAACTGAGAATGATAGTCGTAGCCCTGATGAGGGCCGTGTAGGCCGCATTCTGCGTGGTTTGGAGTGATGCTTGAGGGACAGAGAACAGCTTCAGGTTCTCATCCATGTTCAGCCCAATTTTTTAAAAACATAGAGGTTAGAGAGGGGGCCAAGATGGAGACCGTCAAAGGCAACCCCAAAAGCCCCTAAAACACCAAAATGGTGAGTAATGAGGCCGACACAAAGGATATGATATGATATAAAGGCATCATAAACATTGATGTGTAATCTAAATGCTTATTTAAATAATTTAATTTAAATGTTAAAGCACAAGCACACACACAAAGATGCTCTTTAGCAAGACTGGATTAACCCGTTTAAGCTCTCAGGTTAAAAACTTAAAGACTTTCTGTACCAACTTAAACCAAATCTATATAGTCATATAGTTACGATAGAAACAAAGGGAAACAATTACAAATCTTTGTAAACGCAGCTGATTTACAGAAGGATCACCGGCACAGAAACGTTGACATAATAAACCCCAAACAACTAGCATCATCAGGCCACAGGCAGGGTGCATTCTGGGTAGGTGGCCAGTCTCTCACATGGGCAGAGAGAGAAACTGACTTCTACGACCAGAATAAAATGACCTAACAGCACAAAATAAGTTAGAGTAGCTTCATTTTATTCTCTATTTTTAAAACAGATGCATGGGAAGAAGAAGTTGCTCCACTTTGCTCCACAAAGGCCCGGTCAGGGTTTAAACTACGTGCTTTTTTACGGTTTGTCGGACATTTTCTATTAATGCCATCTTTGTGCTGTCTTTAGCGTGGTCACAAAACAATCAGAGACACACACAAAAAAATATATTTTGTGCTGTTTTGATGGTAAAAACTGTTAAACGCCATGTAGACTGGAACGGTGACAAAAAAACGCTGCTTTATCTACACTGGACAAAAGTGAGTGACTGAGTGGTGGCAGCATCTTTCACACTCACTCACAGTAGGAAAGGAAAGATTAATAACACAATTTAGCTGCCGGCATCTCAGCGGGCAGGTCGCTCTGTCCTTGAGAAACGTGCATGCGTTTGGCGTGAGATGTGGATCGGATGGTAAAAAAACCGAAAAAAAAACAACGATCAGCTAAATGGGTTTTATGTGTAACCATTGAAAACGAAATCTGAATCAAACTGTCACAGTTACTTTGGACTGTTGCATTTAATCATCCTTAGCCTCCAAATGTAGGTTAGCCATATTAGCGGATCCGATTTGTCTGCGCAGAGAACACTCAGTAGTGACTGGCGTGGATGTGTGTGTGTGTGTGCGTGTGTGTGTGGTCAGCGGAGGAACTCAAGCGTGATGGTTGCATTTTCATTAGATGTGTGCGCAGCGTCACGTGCCTACTCGCCACGCCTGACTGGATAACCTTGTACAACTAACTGCCCTGAACCACTTGCTCTGCTCACTGTGATGGATAAGAGACAATGCCTGGATGTGTGTGTTACTTTATCAACTTTACAACAAAATGATGGCTGTTTGTTCTCCCTACTAAATATCCCTACTAAATATACCCAGGACCAACAATGAGTGTGTACTTCTGAGAGCAGAACAAAACACACTGCCCTCTTACAATTTTGCATTGAGAGGCTTGTTTTGCTTCTTTATTATGAACCTAAACTCTTTTCCCTATCTCAATGCAAAACTCAGAAATAATAAAAAAAATAATATTAAAAAAACAAAAATTAACCTTTGGGAGCTGTTTCTGTCATTTCAAATTTGTTCAAATCATCATCATCATTATAGCATGTGAATAAAATATCATATAAATATATATATATATATATTTTTTTTTAAATATATATAAATATAAAATGTCATATAAGGAACACCTGTGTGAGTTTTTTATGGCAATATTTCACTTGTTAGATTCACCGACTGGAGGGAAATTAGAGATCCAAATCATCAAGCCAGGGCTCTTAGAATTCAGGTTTATGGAGACCTCACACTCACAATATCTGATTGTGTGCCAAGATTTGAATCTCAAATTTGGATGCTTCAGGAACTGAATCTCTATATTTCTGAATCTCTGACCTACTTCCTCCAGAGTCCCCACACATCCCCTTACGCAAGAGCAAAAGTCACAAAGTGTTTGTAGACCATGTGACGGATAGAGTGGCTGTCCTTCAGTCGGAGGACTGCTGGACTTTTCCCAAATCTCGTCCTGGTTAAGAAATCTCGAGTAAGACGTTGAACTCTAAATTCCATCCAGGAGTTTTCTGTGTCAGCCGGTGTTCTAGAGCAGTGTTTTTCAACCACTGTGCCTCGGTACACTAGCGTGCCACGAGTGATGGTCAGGTATGCCGTAGAAAATAATCCTATTTCACCTCATTGGTCTAAAAAGATTTTTTTGATATTGAATTAATTATCTGCAAATAATATTCCATTTTTGAGTGTCTGTGCTGTACTAGTGACTGGTGGCGTAATTCCTTATGACTAGATTTTGTATATAATTTTGTATATTGAAGTGGACATGTTAAGTGCAAATAGAAATAAGAAATAGAAAATATGATAAAAATACATTTTTGTGTTTATTTAATTCCTATTCAAGACACTTAAGATAAGATAAGAATAAAATAAAAATAACTATAGTGTTACTATAGGCGGCTACAGATTTGTTTAACAGTTTTGGTTGGTGGCCTCGTAATTTTTTCTATGAAAAAATTTACTTTGGCTCAAAAAAGGTTGAAAAACACCGTTCTAGAGTCCCTGTGCCTGCTGGTACTGTGGCCGTGTACAAACTGACGTGTGTGCTTCTCTGAGGAGGGCTGTACTATGTTTTATACTTTTGTATGCAATTCTTTTAGCTGTATCAACAATATATTTGTACATTTTCAACTCTGATGATGGATTCAGGGGACGAATTCGAGCAGGCTTTGTTCATGCACTGAAGTTTTCATAGCAGGTGTTCCATTCTTTTTAAAAATATATATTATTTGTTAAAAGTTCCTGTCCAAAATGAAGTCTCAGACACTTATTTGGATGTATTCAGGAGTTCAAAATGGAGCAAACAAGTACTTACTTGTTTTTTGGGGGGTTTTTTATATTATTTTTTTTAAGTTACTGTCCATAATGCAGTCTTAGACACTTATTTGGTCGTATTCAGGGGTCCAAAATGGAGCAAATGAGTACTTATTTGGTATTCGAGCCATCTAAAATGTTGGAAACTGTCATTCAAAAAAGTGAAGAAAATCTCGATAACGTGTTAACTGTTGGACCCAGTAGCTTCAGCACAAAGAAAAACTAGAA